AGGAATGCGGGGATTTGATTAAATGATTTGTACCAGGAAGGATGCCATATGACATGAACGTTAACTTGACCCTCCAAAAGAACCATAGAGATTCATGAAGGATATGAATATTAGTTGTGGGGAACCAAGTCTGGTCTTCAGATTTATCGTGCCCCTAAACCAGGGGTCGGCAACATAAGGCTTAACCGGCCCATAGACCCCCGTCGCCTGCTCGGTTGGCTCCCGTGCACAGTGCTAAACAGGCACGGAGCAGAGCAGGGATCGCCTTCCGCGATGGTGGCCAGCTTCTCATTGGCTGCAGGAAGCTCCTGCACCCAATGGGAAGCTGCGCACGCCTCCTCTGCACCGGAAGGAGCGCCAGAAATAGTGTATGCGTATGTGTGCACTCCGGCCCACTGTGGCATCTGCGGGACTGTGAACCGGCCCAAGCCACAAAAACTTTGCCAACCCCTGCCCTAAACTTTAGGTCAGGCTTCCTCAAACTCGGCCCTCCAGATGTTTGGAGACTACAATTCCCATCATCCCTGACCACTGGTCCTGCTAGCTAAGGATCATGGGAGTTGTAGGCCAAAAACATCTGGAGGGCCGAGTTTGAGGAAGCCTGCTTTAGGTGGTGGAAGTTGCTCTAAGATTAGCTAAAGGTGGACAATATATGGAATTGCACCATTATTTACGGGTTGCACTGTTGTTTTTGATTTGTGAAAACCTTCAGGACTGCAGTGGGGCAAAGAAGCTCCTTTTCCACTTTACTGTCATAGGAATGTAATGATGACTATTTTATTATTAGGCTGTCCGTCAGTATGTTTTTTATTATGTTTTTAAAACTGATGTTCTGCAATGAGTTTTTATTGTTGTACACTGCCCTGGGATCTTTTGATAAAGCGTGGTATATAAATTGAAATAATAATAATAATAATAATAATAATAATAATAATAATAATTTCATAGCCTGTATAATGTGGACAGCACCTGCAACAATTACCTCTGCTGCAATAGCTGGAATATCCAAATGAACTGGACAGATAATCACTGACAGGACAGACAAGTTCAGAGAATCAAGATTACACATGCTGACTTTTTTTTACCATTTCCTGAATAAAATAACCATAAATCATAGTGTAATCTGAAGCCTCCGCTTCATGAACTTTGGACTATTAAAACAGATCTACTGTACCTAGTCATTAACAAAGGATTATGGGGAACAGGGCTATTTTCAATGGTGCCCCTTATAAACTGCCTGATACTTTGAGGTAGGGTTACAAAGAAATGTTAACCGCTCAGGATTAAAGTTATGCTGAATGTGGCCGAGTGGAGTGTGTGCCGCCTGCGACTTGCTTCGGCCTGGGCACTTCACGGTTCCAGCTTCTGTACCAGCAGCTCTAGAGAGGGTGTGTTTGCGTTTCTCTGCTCTTGCTCCTCATCTTAAAAGCATCTTTCCAAGTGGAGTTGCAAGTGGAGTTTCAAGAAGAGAATGCGGTGGAGCACGTGGTTTGCGTGAAGAGTTTGGCTTCAATCCCCGGCACCTCCTGTTATAAAGGGTCAGGTGGCAGCTACTTACAAAGCCCTCAACTGGAGACACCCTGGAAGGCTTCTGTCACTCACAGGGCACGATGCTGCGCTACGGTGCCCAACAGAACGCATTACAAGATGAACAGAGGGCTTCCAACACTGTGCTGGCCTTGTAGGGCTGAAGTAGGAAACTGTGGCGATCACACAGGGTCCCCGGATGTTTCACCGTCTTTTGATCCCTGTGCCACCACTTTATTTCTCGCTGCCACCACCCAGGCCCTACCTGGTAAAATACTGAGTTTAGCCAGGGTTAAATTGGAACATAAACTTCTCTTTATTTATTGCAGTTTAACAAGCGTGTGGTTTCATAAACGGTCTCAGTCAATTACAGTCATGGGCTGCCTATCCAGACCTATAACCTCTGCTACCTGCTTTCACTCACTAAACCACCTCTCAGATATTTACTTGTCTTCCTAGCTCCTAACTGTTCCTGACTCAGCTTATTCCATTGCTACACCAACTCAACCTACCCACAGACTCTTTCCCAATTTACTCCTACTCCAATCAACCACCCAATTCCCAATGAACTTTCCCTTCGCCCCTCCCAGAGCTGGTTTTATAGTCCCTCTGACTCCACCCCCTGGGTTCTGATTGGGTAATCTGTTTAACTATTTCACCTCCAGCACTCTCATATGTTAACGTCACAGAAACAATCAATAACAAGGGATGCTTCCCTTTGCCCATCGCCTACTGATTCCGCTGGGCAAGTGTCATCTCCAAATCCCAGAACCTGGTAAGAGGATCCCCTGCTTCAACTGTACATCTCCTGCTTGGCACTGCAGTGGGAAGCAAGAATCATCCGTCTCTGGCGTTGTACCCTAGGATCTCCAGGGATTCCCCAAGCACAGAACAAGCGCTGGGGAGATCCCCTACTCCCTCTGCAGCCCCAGGCTTGAGAGGGAAGCCTGTCACACTGTGCTTCTCAGAAGCACAGGGCAACTCGGAGTGCTGGTTCCCCCATCCCACCAATGGCTTCATGTTCCTCCAGCAAGTGAATGTCGCAGTTATGAGCATAAGTACATACGGGAATAGCCCCTTTGTGGCTTGCTTTCTTTATCTATTTTCTGCCTAGTGTTCCGGAATTCTAACTCTGTGGGAGTACAGGAGATTAGAAGGGGAACTGTGTCTGAGCTCTGGCAAACCTGGTTATCGTGATGAAAGTTTGTCGGCAGCTAATGATTGCTGTCATGGCCCGTACTTTGACTAGGTACCCGTGTCTCTGTCTGCCATCTCTCTCCTGTGAAGTGACAGCTCACTGACAGCTCACACCTGTCATGGGAAAGTGGAGCAAAAGAGATGTCTCTTAAATCACACCCAAACACCAACCGCTCCACATAGAAAGAATATCGAGGGTCCTATCCAGATCTTTCACAAGAGTCACCATTTTTCTACTATAATAAAAAGGTTTTCTTTTCCTCTTTTTTTAAGTACATGATTTCAGAATACAGCAGTACCTCAGGTTAAGTACTTAATTCGTTCCGGAGGTCCGTACTTAACCTGAAACTGTTCTTAACCTGAAGCACCACTTTAGCTAATGGGGCCTCCAGCTGCCGCCGCGCCGCCGGAGCACGATTTCTGTTCTCATCCTGAAGCAAAGTTCTTAACCCGAGGTACTATTTCTAGGTTAGCAGAGTCTGTAACCTAAAGCGTATGTAACCTGAAGAGTATGTAACCTGAGGTACCACTGTACTAACTGAATAATCATGATGAAGGATAATAATAATAATAATAATAATAATAATAATGCAACTATATCACTATAAATTGTAAGTGTCAGAAAGGTCACTTTAAGGCAGAGTGTTGTGTGGGACTGTTCAGAAATCCAACCACAAATGCATTCTGCAACATTGTCAATGGCATGTTGCAGAACATATAGGGGGTGGAGGGCGACAATCTGGAGGGACCCCCCAGTAGTTTGCAACTGATACAAAAATGTACTGCTTCCTAACACCAGATGAAATGGTACTGGGTTCACAGATGTTTTATCTGCTGCTATTATTCTGCACATAAAATAAATTACTTAGAAAATACATTATAAAAGTAATTAATAGGAAAATAATATTAGCCATGCCTCAGTGCTCAAATGGACTGCAGCACAAGGCTTTGTTACACTCAGTAATCCTGAAATGGGAGTGAATGATATTAATGAGAAAATTCCCCGATATGTTAGCATCATTACATCATCAATATATGTGACGCTTTATAAAGTAACGTAAGCAAAACAAAACATTGTTTGGGTGGCAATTCTGTGAGTTTGCAATGGAAAGAAATAAAGCTTGGGCACTGCTGCTAATTGGCAGCAAACCATATTGTGCATTTTTACCTGAGAGCATCTGGTCAAATCAGGGTCCCAAATGACAGTCTGCTCCAGGTTTGGGGTCCTGGCTTTTGGATAAACACTAGCCGTCTTCCGAAATATTGCTCACACATTGATACAGTGCAGGATATGGGCCACACCAATTACCTTGTCCCCAGTGTTGCATGCTTCACTTTGCCCTACTACCCAGGGAATAGTGCAAGGACTTCCCTGGGGCAAATTCTTGTACTATAGATGCAGGTGCCAAGGGAGAAGCTGGAGGGTGCAATGTTAGTGAGTCTAACTGGCACAGCCCCACTCCCACCTTATATCATTTATTGATTTATTGCATCTATATCCCACTTTTCCCCTCCAAGGAAGTCAAAGTCCTAGTCTGACACATTAACCTCTGAAGGGAGGCCTGTAGTTTCCCCAAACCAATGTTTGCCATGTTTGAATGAGAGAGAAAATGTGGTTTGAGACAAACAGAAGCACCAAATCTTTCCTAGGGCGTAAAGGAAAGCCCAAGGCTTGCTGCTGCTTATTCGCATAATGGCAAGGACCATTGTGCATTCCCAAAGAAAAATTTTGGGGAGAAATATGCAATGTTGTGTGGCACTGATGCTTTGCTATAGAAAAATGGATGAATAACTCTTCAGCTGCTCTGTTGCATTGTCAGGCTAATGGATGCTGCTTGTACTTTTTCTTTGAACTTTCTGTATTTAGAATCATAGGGACACAAAGCCTCATACTGAGTCAGACTGCTGTTCTGTCTAGTTCAGAACTATCAGTACTGCCTGGGATTTCAGAGAGAAGTATTTTAATTTGTATAGCCTTACCTAGGGTGCTAGTGGGCAGCTCAGTAGGTTAGAGCGTGGTGCTGGTAATGCCAAGGTTGCAGGTTCAATCCCCATATGGGACAGCTGCATATTCCTACGTTGCAGAGGGTTGGACTAGATGATCCTCGAGGTCCCTTCCAATTCTACAATTCTATGTATTGTATTTTTCGCTCTATAGGACGCACTTTTCCCCCTCCAAAAATTAAGGGGAAATGTGTGTGCGTCCTATGGAGCGAATGCAGGTTCCTTGGCTTCAGCAATAGCAATGCGAAGCCTCCGAAGCACAGAGAGAGCACTCCCTCCGTGCTCGGGAGGCTTCACGTTGCTTTCACGTTGCCTGGAGAGTGAGAGGGGTCAGTGCGCACCAACCCCTCTTGCTCTTCAGGCTTCGAAGATAGTCACCTGAAGCCTCCAGGTGCACTCTGGAGGCTTCAGGTTCCTTTCGCTGAAGGGTAGGTGCCCCTTCAGCTAAGGCGCAGCGCCCCTTCAACTAAGCAGGAGGAGAAATGGAAGGGGCTCTGTTTCTCCTGCCGCTTCGCTGAAGGGGCGCTGCACAAAGAGGGGGAGAATTTTTTTCCCTTGTTCTCCCCCTCTAAAACAAGGTGCGTCCCATGGTCGGATGCATCCTATAGAGCGAAAAATAAAGTAATGCTGGGGATTTAACCTGGGATCTTTTGTGTCCAAAGCTGGTGTTGTACCACTAAGTGAAGGTTTATGTTAGCGGTCAGGTAAGGTGCAAAAAAAATGTTTCCTTTTCATAAAAGCTTTGAGTTTTCCCAAGACTTGACTGTGGATGTAGCTTATTGCAGCAAGTAACAATTATTTCCCCATTTTCATTTGTACACTTTACCTATTTAGAAAACTGGAGTTTGGCTTTTGCCATAATTTTCTGTCCCTCTTTAATCATTTATCCTCTCTGAATTTCAAGACGCCTCTATCTCAAAAGCTTGATTCGTTTTGACACACAAAGTGAACTCTGGTCTGAATTCAAATTTTTAACCTTAGTGGCCAGGTCAAGTGTTTGATTTACCAGAAGATTGCGCAACTACTCCGAACAGGACGGCACTATCAGCTTTTCTGATAACTAACGAAGTGCAAAAACAAACATTTCCCAAACTGGGGAAACAGTCCAAATCATTTCATATCTTCTCAGATTATCAGAAGTATCATTTCCCTTCCCAATACACTTCACTGAGGTCAGATTTTTGGCAAAGGTATTGACCCCACAGAACAATTGGGGCAATACATTTATCGGACCAATTCATGTTCACCATTGTATTAAAGGTGAAGATGCTATTAAAATAATTTGAGGTTGTTTTTTTAAAAAAATTATGACTTAAGACCCAGATTGATGTTAACTTAATGTTGAATGTTACTTCTTCTTTTTTTAAAAGAAGTAAGAAATTGTAAGTACCGTAGCCATGTATCCAATAATTTTGTAGCTGGTGTCTTCATTAAATGGATTATAGTGTGTTTTAATGTACAGGTATATATATATATATAATTTTTAATTTATCAAATTGTACACTGCCCTATGCCCATAGATCTCAGAGCAGTTCACAATATAAAATTACAATATAATGTTGCTTGTTCTCTCAAAGAGGTACCTTGAATCACAATTCCATCCCTGTTCCCTTCCAAGACAGGTTTATTCCAGAAGACAGGAGCTATTGGTATCTGGATAAAATCATTCCTAGAAAATCATCCTCTGACTCTTGACTGTACTAACAAGCTATTTTCATACAATCATAGAACTGTAGAATTGGAAGGGACCCTGAGGGTCATCTAATCCAATAGATGTGTTCATGTGCTGAAATAAAACTGGAACACATTTTCTGCAACTTTCTAATGCGAAAAAATGGCATTACACTTGTATGCTTATTTGATCTCTGCCAAAGAATATTTACACTGCCTTTTAATTTGCCTTTGAGTGACATGCGCTCAGAGGAAGCCACACAGCACATGGCCAGGGAACATTCCATTTCCTTTCAACAGCCTGCAAAGGAGAAGGGGGAGAAATCTTTTTTCTTTTTCAATGTGGCCTTCAGATGTTGCAGAAAAGCTAGCAAGCAGGCATCACATTTCTAAACACACAGCATACTCCTCAATGGAAAAGATATCTCTCACTGCCGTGTTTGGAATCCTGGGCACCTCTCTTGTCCTATAAAGGTAAAGTTAAAGGACCCCTGACAGTTAAGTCCAGTCGCAAACGGTTGCAGCGCTCATCTCGCTTTACAGGCCAAGGGAGCTGGCGTTTGTCTGCAGTTTTTCCGGGTCACCTAAAGACAGCCTTCCCCATTTCCCAGGTAAGATCACCAGCTCCCGCAGAGAATTCAATGGCTTTAAGTTACAAGAAAGGATATTCTGACTAAACACCAGGAAAAACTTTCTGACAGCAAGATCTGTTTGACACCGGAACGGTCTCCCTTGGAAGATTGTGGACTCTCCTTTCTTGGAGATCTTTAAGCAGAGGTTGAATGGCACCTGTCACAGATTATTTAGTTGGGATTCCTGCATCGCAGGGGGTTGGACTAGATAACCCATCCAACTCTACAGCTCTTTGATTTTATGCGACCATACTGCCACACAATTCTATGATTCTTAACGGCGAGTCTTTCAAGACTTCAGATCTTCAATTTCCCGGGTCATGTGAAAATAATAACCCCCTCCTTAAAACCCACGTGCTCGTGCAAAGTGGGCAACTTGGGACTTCTCTGGCCGTGCTCACCTGCCAGGTTCCATGTAGCCAACCTGTGACCATTGCAACTTTTTTTTCTGTGGGGATCAACGGGGGTCGGCAAGATTGGCTGCTGTCAATGGATTCCTGCCTCTCCCCACCCCGATTTAGGATTTTTCTTGTTGTTGTTAAGACTCGCATTGCAGCTGCTTTGGTCTGGCCAGCTTACCCCTCCAGCCGCCTGTGCCTTGCTGTGAAACCATGACAAGAATTCCAGCGGCAACCCTGCAAGACAAAGCAAACAACAATAGCAGGGGGAATAAAGCCCTTCGGGGCAGAAAGGAATGTTTCAGGAGCTGTTGGCCTGTAGAGAATGGAGACAGGCCGGCAGGCAGAGAGAGATTTGGAGAGCCCCTCCCTCCCTCCTCCTCCCCTTCCCCTCTCAGCAGCTCTAGATCTTGTGATGGAGAGATCTGATCCCTTCTTTGTGATTCAGAGGTGCCAGGAAGCTCATTGAATATTCTGATCTGCCCCCAGTGTTTCTTGTGGCTTGACCCCGGTGCTATGTCGTACCACTACCCAAGCAGCCCTGAACCTGCATAAATCACAACCCCTGCCGAAACCTTGCACACTCTTGCTCTTTTCCCTTCTGCTTTCCCTTCTCCCTGCTCTAATAGAAACGCCTGAGAGGTTATTAGAGAGTCCTTGAGGGTGCGATCAAGGCAGAAAGAAGAGGGAGTCTGGGATTTTGAGAGACAAGGGCCCTCCAGTAAATAACCAACAGTTCCCAGCTGTCTGACATTTGAAAGGGTATAATTTCACATGGGCTCTTCCTTATGGTTGGAACATCCAGCAGGGAAGTTGGATCGTGTGAACCTTCCCCCCCCCACAAGTCAACAGCCCTGGATATGGCCCGAGAGCATAAGGAATCATAAAAAGTAATATAACCAAGTATTACTCTTTGGAGCACGTATTAGCAGAGGCATCCTATTTCGGTCAGAGTTCTCAGATTTAGGTTAAAAATGCACACACCTCAGCAATTTTTAAGGTTTCAGCAAGTTGCGTCACTGTAAAGGCTGCATTTCTGTTGTTGATTAATAAATATACCACTTTTTGCCAAAATTTAATGCATACCCAAATTGTGACGTTCTGTAACACGTCTGCCTTTTATTTTCTTGGGCCAGGAGGTCTGTCTTCCACATGGTGACATCAAATTACAGTCATATGCAACTGTTTCCTTCATAGAACAGACCTTATTCCTGTGCACTGAACTGCAGGTTTGGAGTGTCAAGCTCAGTTAACCAAAACACAAAACAAATATTCCTAAGTTGTATATACATTTAACCAGAAGAATTGAGAATATTTAAATAATATTTATCATCCAAGGCTTCTGTCTTTAGATGTGCATGTAAAAAAGGAAGAGAAATAAATAACTGTCTTGTGCTTCGCTGAATATGGGCAGGTTCACACATGCGTGTTAATCACTTGATAGGCTGGAACCAGACTAGGTTAGCTGAATGAAGTTAGTAACAACTAGGTTAAGTCCTACTGATTTCAACCAGAACTAAATTCAGTTCAGTTTGATTTATTGTGTTTAGCGAGCAGCCATTACGCACATAAAAATAAGAATAACAAGAATACTGCTAATAATAGTGGTTTGCATTTCTACTCCCCAACCTTTACAGAATAAATCATTTCCAATATCCCCTTTCAGTTTTATTACATGAATTTTTAAAGCCTTGGTAAGAAATTTGGATGTTCTAAAGGATATATACCTCTCTACATCAGACAACAAAAAACAGGTCTTGGCAACAGACGCCCTTCCCTTCTGCGATCTTAACCCCTGGAAAATGTAATTGTTTAAGAACTAAATTCAGCTAAGGTTAGATGCAACCGGATGGCTGTGACATTGCATGTATGAATGGGTCACCAAAGAAGAGCAACATGTGTCATGCTCGTGCCTGGGGCCGGCAGGTATAAAGAGCTTTATGCAATGTCTGGAGGGTGGGAGTATATAGAAAACTTGAAGCCTCCGCTGATGAGCATGCCTTTCTTCTGCAACTAGTGGGATAGGAAGAGATGGGGCAGGGAGGACGGAAAAAACACAGCAGAGTTGTGCAGAACTTTCATAATGCTGCAGATAGGATAGAGCTGCCAATCAACAAGCGTGCAGTAATCATACAGAGAAGAACTCAAGGTGCCTGCAGGCATGAACTAGGTTGACAGCCATAATATAGATCTCATCCACTTGCTCATGCTAGCTGCAGTCTACGATCTACTTAATTTGGGTGTGATCTTGGAGTAATTTAATGAGTAAACAAACTCCAGAGGAAAGGGTTTCTGGGCTGGAAATTAGTTTCTAGTTTTGACAGCCACCCCACACCTTGTATTAACAGGAAACACCTGAGACTCGGAAAGAATGTTTCCCATTGTGTTTGATACTCTGTGGGTGATGCACACTGTGTTGAATCCCACCCTTCCTCACAAGAGAGCCCAGGGTGGCTAACAAGCTCCATAAATTACAACACACAAGCACCATTGACATTACAATTCTAAAATCACGACAACACATTACAATAGTAAAAACAGTCAGCAATAAGAGTTCAGTAAGACCATTTCCATTATGTTCTGAAGACCTGCATAAATCATTAAGATTTTAACAACTGATGGCTGCGGGGGGACGGGGGACGGACGGGCGGGGACACAACCAAATATCCACTGAAACAGAGATTCATTTTTAATAACTGTAGT